TCAGTGAGGGACCCCCAGACTCTGGGGACATGGTGTTTGTTATCACCCCACAGACGCCGTCAGTGTGAGGACCCCCAGACTCTGGGGACCTGGTGTTGTATCACCCCACAGCATGTGTGAGGGACCCCAGACTCTGGAGACCTGGTGTTTGTTATCACCACACAGACGCCGTCAGTGAGGACCCCCAGACTCTGGGGACCTGGTGTTTGTTATCACCACACAGACGCCGTCAGGGTGAGGACCCCACCCCAGACTCTGGGGACCTGGTGTTTGTTATCACCCACAGACGCTGTCAGTGTGAGGGTCTGGGCTGGAACACGGTGTTTGTTATCACCACACAGACGCCGTCAGTGTGGGGACCCAGACTCTGATCTGGTGTTTGTTATCACCACACAGACGCCGTCAGTGGAGGGGACCCCAGACTCTGGGGACCTGGTGTTTGTTATCACCACACAGACGTCAGGTGAGGGACCGACTCTGGGACCTGGTGTTTGTTATCACCCCACAGACGCCGTCAGGGTGAGGGACCGACTCTGGGGACCTGGTGTTTTGTTATCACCCCACAGACGCCGTCAGTGTGAGGCCCCAGACTCTGGGACCTGGTGTTGTTATCACCCCACAGACGCTGTCAGTGTGAGGACCCCCAGACTCTGGGGACCTGGTGTTTGTTATCACCCCACAGACGCCGTCAGGTGAGGGACCCCCAGACTCTGGGGACCTGGTGTTGTTATCACCCCACAGACGCCGTCAGTGTGAGGAGCCCCAGACTCTGGGGACCTGGTGTTTGTTATCACCCCACAGCGCTGTCAGTGTGAGGCCCCCAGACTCTGGGGACATGGTGTTTGTTATCACCCCACAGCGCCGTCAGGGTGAGGGACCCCCAGACTCTGGAGACCTGGTGTTTGTTATCACCACACAGACGCCGTCAGTGTGAGGGGACTCTGGGGACCTGGTGTTTGTTATCACCACACAGACGCCGTCAGTGAGGACCCCCAGACTCTGGGGACCTGGTGTTATCACCCCACAGACGCCGTCAGGGTTGAGGGACCCCAGACTCTGGGGACCTGGTGTTTGTTATCACCACACAGACGCCGTCAGTGTGAGGGACCCCCAGACTCTGGGGACCTGGTGTTTGTTATCACCACACAGACGCCGTCAGGGTGAGGACCCCAGACTCTGGGGACCTGGTGTTGTTATCACCACTCAGACGCCGTCAGTGAGGGCCCCCAGACTCTGGGGACCTGGTGTTTGTTATCACCACAGACGCCGTCAGTGTGAGGGGCCCCCAGACTCTGGGGACCTGGTGTTTGTTATCACCACACAGACGCCGTCAGGGTGAGGACCCCCAGACTCTGGGGACCTGGTGTTTGTTATCACCACACAGACGCCGTCAGGTGAGGAGCCCCAGACTCTGGGGACCTGGTGTTTGTTATCACCACACAGACGCCGTCAGTGTGAGAGCCCAGACTCTGGGGACCTGGTGTTTGTTATCAACAGACGCCGTTAGGGTGAGGACCCCCAGACTCTGGGATAGAGATATTTTTAGTGACCACACACACACACACACACACACACACACACACACACACACACACACACACACACCCAGGTCAAGTTATGGACACATAAATAACATGAGCCAGACTTTATGTCATCTTAAAGTTGAGAGGTTGTGAGTTTTGTGGCTCAGCATCGTGTGTTGGTCACCTCTGGCCTTTACCCAGAAAAACTTGTCTATGCGTGTTTGACTCTCGCTCTATTGGTTCATACTCACCTGGCTCTCTCTCTCTCTCTCTCTCTCTCTCTCTCTCTCTCTCTCTCTCCTATTCTAGTGTTTGTTTATAAGTCTGTTTTTCAGTCACATAATGACTATATCACTTGCTCTGTTCTCTCGGATATAATTACCTGAGGCGTCAGTCTACAGAACAGACATCAAGTATTAATCATATAAATAAAGAAGTAATATTTTGCGTGTGTGTGTAATAATAATAATAATAGTAATAATAATAATAATAATAATAATAAACTGTTTATTAATAGAGTTGCAGCCGGTGGCTGAAAATATATAAACTTACATGTGATTTAGACATAATGATATACGTTCAATCATTTACAGTACATAAATCAGGAGTTGTTTATTATTTTAACAAGAGATGGGATGGTGCTGTTCTTATATCTATCGGTGCGGGCTCTTATGGGCTGAATTTTGTTGTAGTGGCGGACTGTGCGAGGTGGGCGGGGACTGCTGGTGGCAGTAGGTGGCGATGCCGAGGATGGTGCAGTAGTCCACTGCAAACCCTGCTAGTGCGTGGTGGTGGAGGTCACTGAGGATGGCATTTCGAGGGTGGAGAGAGCGTTGTTGCTGGAGTAGTCTGTGCCGAGCATGATTCTGCAGGCCTCTTCTGTACCTTCTCTAGCTGACGTTGTTGGGTAGAGTTGAGAGAAGACGACCAGGCTGGTGACGCATACGTTAATTGTGTGTGTGCCTATATCATCTTATTTATATATTGAATAAATTAACACTCTGTAATCTCATAATATACTGTCATTTGTGTATCAGACCGACAGTCATTCAATACCCCGCTCAAACTTAGCGTCAAATGGCTCCAGACACTATCACACCTGGTGGGTGGTGAGCGTCCAGCGGGTGTTACCTTGGTGAGTCTTATTTGCATACCGGCTCCTCCAATACTGATTTTGTTACTAGTATTGTATTTTCAGCGGTTAGTTTGGTTCATATTAGCCCATTCCAGCTTATTCCACGTGACGGTACCTAAGGAGATGGGGTTAGGTTAGGTTAGGTTAGGTTAGGTTAAGGTGAAGGGAGCTGGTGGGGGACTATTTATCCTGTCAAAGGTTTTTATTTTATTTTATGTTTTTCAAAATCAACTAAACAGATGTCCAAATTTCTTTGGACCTCTAAAGCCCTTTCACTCAAAATCCTCAAACCAAATATACTGTAGCTTCTCTAATTTCCTTTCCCTTTCTAAATTCATTTTGCTCCTTAGGTAACTCACATCTACTCTAAACTTTACTGTACTAAAAATTTTGTTTAATACATTTTTGCAGGCATGACTTATTAAACTTACTGTTCTTAACTGGGTGCACTCTAAGGCTCCTGGCTTTGTAGATAATATTGTTTTTTATGAAATCACTGGGAAGGTCTCCTCTGAAATACTGTATATAGAATTACATATTTTAGTCAAACAGTTTATCCCATTATTGCCAATTTGTTTTATAAATTCTATTGGAAGCTGATCGACCACACAAGCTTTATCATTTTACTCACAGCTGCCTCAACTTCTCTCCAGAACTGGCATTTCGATCTTTATTTCTTTTTAGTTTCTTACCTCTACTTTATCCTTATCATTGAATAGTTCTTCTACGTACTCTGCCCATCTCTCCTTTACTACTTCTGCCTCAAACAGGATATTATTGTCTTTGCTTTTAATATTCTCACCCCTTTTATTTTTTTTTTCTGGTTCATTTCTTTAATCTTTCTGTACATTTTCCTATATTAATGGCTTACGTCACCATCTTCAGTCGTCCCATTTCCTTTTCAGATCATCTTTCTTGGCCTGTCTGCATTCCCTTTTAATTTCTTTGTTAATTTTTATGTAAGCCTTACTTCGTTTTCTATATTTCTTTGTCTATCCATTTTTCAAAGTTTCATTTGTCATCCACTTACGTTGAGCCTCGTTCCTCCTATGGCCTATAAGTTTTCCTAGCCTCTAAATTACTTCTTTGTAATTATTAAATTGTTGTCCTGGTCCTTGTTCATCAAAGTCACCCTCTCGCAATACTGAATTTTTTTTCTCGGTTTCAATTTCATATTATATCACTGCCTGTTGTGAGCTTACCTAAAACTCACTTGATTTTGTCCTTAGTTTTTCTTTTTAATTTTTTTAAGTCTGCCTCACTAAACTCATGACTTGGACGTGATCTGACTCACAATCTGCCCTGATTAGGTCTTGGTTCTGGTTATTGAATTTCTGAATCTTTCCTGAATTAAATGTAATGTATTTGATTCCTGACTGTGTATGTCCTGGGGTGAGACGCATGCACAGAGATGCCTAGGGTGTTCTTCAAACCATGTACGTATTTGCAATTATCATCTTGTTTTCCTTACAAAAGTCCATTAATATTTCTCCTCTCTCATTTCTATTACCTAACCTACTTTCTATTTCCCAACTTTTGCGTTAAAATTACCCATTATAAACAGATATTCGTCAAATTTTACGGTGTCTTTTACTTCGTTAAATTTTCATAAAAATTTTCTAAGACTTCATCCTCACTATCATTTGTTGGTGCATAAAACAAGTCTACGGGCTTAGCATTAAACTTGACTAACAAAATTCTAACTGACACTGTCCAATATTTTCTGCTCACCTTCTGGTTTACAAGAATACCAACACCTCTCTCATGAATATATAAAGTAAGAATCGTCACCGCTAATGTTATTTGAACCTGTCCATCTTACTCCACTTAAACCCAGAATGTCCCACTGTAATCTGTACATTTCCCTACAAGCATTTACATATTTACCAGCCCCATATAATGTCCTCACAGTCCATGTTCCAATCTTTATTTTGAGTTTGTTTTAAACTTTCTTTCGTGTTAAATGTCCAAGGATTTGTTTTGCTCGGACAGTACTTGCCAGCTCTCGGTGACACCCTGCCCGCAAGCACGGGAGACAATGCGGTTGGATCTTTTGGTGACGATGATCCAACAGGAACGCCCGAGAATCGTTTGTTTTGTCTTTCCATAGGTTTTCAGGGGCAAGAGATGAGGTTAATGAGAATGGCTGCTCCTTAGCCTTTTCTCATCAGAAGATTAATTAGAGGAATAGAAAACGTTGGTAATGAACTATGGGGTGTAGAGGCCGTAGACACATGAGTACACCTTGGTAAAAAAAAAATATAATTTACAAAAAAAAATCATTCCTTTCTATCAGTCTGTCACTCTCAAAGTTGAATTTCTTTTTCCATCCATTTCCCAACTTAGTACCATCTGCTGACGTCACCCATCACTACCACAATAGCCTCATCTGCGGTAGGATCCTGGAATATACAGAATATGTCAAACTTCTTCCTGGTATCAACACGATCATCTCCACCACATTTCCTCTTAACAAAAATATGAATATATATACAGTATACCAGCCAGCCAGAGCAGCAACGATCATAACCTCCCAGTAAACACAACATTAACAGTTCACAACGTTGTACAGTATATATGTAATAACTGGCCCCCGGGTGTGTGTGTGTGTGCTGTATCTCTATGTGTCATGTATGGAGTGTCCCATGGGGCGAGTAGCGACCACAGTCTCCACACAAATCCACACATTGTACTGTTGGAGGAGGAAAGACTCAAAGACTCTCCTCTACTACAATAAGGTATTACACTTCTTGAGCCTTTGAGCCCCAGAAATGCAAAGTGAAAGTGGGTCCCCTAGTAGTAGTGAGGATGCAGCTTGTTTTCTGGTATAAGGGGGAAACAGTGTCTCCAGCATTATACATGAGGGTTTCACCTTCCCGACTGTGAAGTTAGGAACCTATTCACAGCTGGTTGGAATGGAGGCTGCTGTGGCGCAAACCATCGACCCCTAAAACAGGAGACGAGCGCTGTAACCACTTGACTTCACCTTAGTTATCAGTATCGTGTGGATTAAATGTCTATAACTAAATTAAACATAATATATATCTTATTTTTTAGGATATATATTGTCATTCATATAACTGCTGTAATCCTATCATAGCTCTGACATAAACTGCAGTGACACAATTCGTCTCCACTCTTGTCTAATCTCCGCGCCTTGGCCTCAACACAAGCTTCAATAAAACAATGTAGCCAACTGATGTACCGTATTGGTTATAATATTTGTATATGTTTCCCCTCCCAGCTTTGAGGATCAAGAAGAACATGAACCTAATAGATGATTCCTCAAGAAGAACATGAACCGAATAGATGATTCCTCAAGAAGAACATGAACCTAATAGATGATTCCTCAAGAAGAACATGAACCTAATAGATGATTCCTCAAGAACATGAACCTAATAGATGATTCCTCAAGAAGAACATGAACCTAATAGATGATTCCTCAAGAACATGAACCTAATAGATGATTCCTCAAGAACATGAACCTAATAGATGAGGAGAGAAAGTAGAGATAACAGTAGAAGACAAGAGAGAAGGAGAGAAAGTAGAGATGACAATAGAAGACAAAGAGAGAAGGAGAGAAGAAAGAAAGAGAACAATAGAAGACAGGAGAAGGAGAAGAAAGAAAGAGAGAGAACAATAGAAGACAGGGAAGAGAAGGAGAAAGTAGAGAGACAATAGAAGACAGGAAGAAGGGGAGAAAGTAGAGAGAACAGTAGAAGACAAGAGAGAAGGAGAGAAAGTAGAGAGAACAATAGAAGACAGGAGAGAAGGAGAGAAAGTAGAGATGACAGTAGAAGACAGGAGAGAAGGAGAGAAAGAAGAGAGAACAATAGAAGACAGGAGAGAAGGGGAGAAAGTAGAGAGAACAATAGAAGACAGGAGAGAAGGAGAGAACAATAGAAGACAGGAGAGAAGGAGAGAAAGTAGAGAGAACAATAGAAGACAAGAGAGAAGGAGAGAACAATGTAAGTAGACAGCAAAACGACAGATTATAAAACAAACAACAATGACCCATTTTATCAAACTATAGAAAACGACGCATCTTAATCCCCAAGAAGTATTCGAGGTCAGACAACATAATGGTAGTCTTTACCAATGTTGTTTCATATTTCTTGTTCTGTTTATATTTTTTTTTAGTTTCAAATAACCCAGTTCATGAATTTTTATATATCTATTTTTATACCCCGTCATGCAATAATATCTGGGTATCATGTTATCACGTTGGTCTGTTGTGTGTCTGTGTTGGTCTTCCTGTCTTGTGCATATTGCTTGGACGAACCCACAGTCAAATTTGTTATGTACACACGTCTCCCCGAGGTCTTGGTAAGATTCCATAATCTGGCTGCCACAGTTAGCCTTGCCACAGTTAGCCTCGCCACAGTTAACCTCGCTACAGTTAACCTCGCCACAGTTAACCTTGCCACGGTTAACCTCGCCACAGTTAGCCTTGCCACAGTTAGCCTCGCCACAGTTAACCTCGCTACAGTTAACCTCGCCACAGTTAACCTTGCCACGGTTAACCTCGCCACAGTTAACCTCGCCACAGTTAGCCTCGCTACAGTTAGCCTCGCCACAGTTATATTCCTTTAATTTACTTCTGTAATATTTTCCGTCAGTCACATTGATATAACGGAATCAAGTTATATTTCGTTAGGATAGGTTAGGTTAGGTTATGTTATATGTAATATCTGTATACAATGTGTGCCAAGTTCGATTTTCATGTTGGTGCAGCTGTATGTGTCAATATTACATCATGTTGGTGCAGCTGTATGTGTCAATATTACATCATGTTGATGCAGCTGTATGTGTCAATATTACATCATGTAGGTGCAGCTGTGTGTTAATAGTACCGCATGTTGGTCCAGCTGTGTGTCAGTACCACGTCATGTTGGTGCAGCTGTATGTGTCAATATTACATCGTGTTGGTGCAGCTGTATGTGTCAGTACCACGTCATGTTGGTGCAGCTGTATGTGTCAGTATTACATCGTGTTGGTGCAGCTGTGTGTTAGTAGTACCTCATGTTGGTGCAACTGTGTGTGTGTGTGTGTGTGTGTCAGTACCACGTCACGCTGATGCAGCTAAAATAATATTAAATCATGTTGGTGCAACTGTGTGTCAGTACTCACGTCATGTTGTTGCAGCTGTGTGTTGCATGCCGTTGTTGCAGCTGTGTGTCGTACCACGTCATGCTGGTGCAGCTGTGTGTCAATATTAAATCATGTTGGTGCAACTGTGTGTCAGTACCACGTCATGCTGTTGCAACTGTGTGTCAGTACCACGTCATGTTGTTGCAACTGTGTGTCAGTACCACGTCATGTTGCAGCCTTGTGTCAGTACCACGTCATGTTGGTGCAACTGTGTGTCGGTACACGTCATGTTGCGCAACTGTGTCAGTACCACGTCATGTTGGTGCAACTGTGTCGGTACCACGTCATGTTGTTGCAGCTGTGTATCAGTACCACGTCATGTTGTTGCAGCTGTGTGTCAATATTAAATCATGTTGGTGCAACTGTGTGTCAGTACCACGTCATGTTGTTGCAACTCGTGTGTCAGTACCACGTCATGTTGTTGCAGCTGTGTGTCAGTAATACCACGTCAAGTGTTGTTGCAGCTGTGTGTCAGTACCACGTCATGTTGCTGCAACTGTGTGTTAGTACCACGTCATGTTGGTGCAGCTGTATGTCAGTGCCACGTCATGTTGTTGCAACTGTGTGTTAGTACCACGTCATGTTGTTGCAGCTGTGTGTCAGTACCACGTCATGTTGTTGCAACTGTGTGTTAGTACCACGTCATGTTGTTGCAGCTGTGTGTCAGTACCACGTCATGTTGTTGCAACTGTGTGTTAGTACCACGTCATGTTGGTGCAGCTGTATGTCAGTACCACGTCATGTTGGAGCAGCTGTGTGTGTCAGTACCACGTCATGTTGGTGCAGTTGTATGTGTCAGTACCACGTCATGTTGGTGCAGTTGTATGTGTCAGTACCACGTCATGTTGGTGCAGCTGTATTGTGTCAGTACCACGTCATGTTGGTGCAGCTGTATTGTGTCAGTACCACGTCATGTTGGTGCAGCTGTATTGTGTCAGTACCACGTCATGTTGGTGCAGCTGTATTGTGTCAGTACCACGTCATGTTGGTGCAGCTGTATGTGTCAGTACCACGTCATGTTGGTGCAGCTGTATGTGTCAGTACCACGTCATGTTGGTGCAGCTGTATGTGTCAGTACCACGTCACAAGTGAGTCAAAACGTCATGTTATTTTTAGCTTTTGTTTTCTTCTCAATACCTGACTTGCGCCTCAACAGCTTATAGACAAATGCTCATTGTTTAACAAGACCCAAATAATACCATCAGATGTTTGGGTTCCCGCTGTGGTAAAGACTCTATTTGGTTGTGTTCCTCAGGGTTGTTGACTTTTGTTCACAGTTTTCAAACACCATAATGAAGGGAGACGATTATTAATTAAGTTTGTTTTAAATAATGGAGAAACAGATGCATATTTATGTGTCTCAGTATTACTTTAAGTATGTGTCTCTGTCTACATGAGGAATAGTTCCAGTTTTTGTTAGAGGAATATTGATGAAAAACTTAAAGAACTCCTGTTTTGTATTGCATGAATGGAAATTATGTGAGGCAATACAACGTTGTGAATCCCGGTGACTCGACGTTCATATAGGGTGTGGTAGAAGTAATTACCCCAGTGTGAGGTCGTCGTGTTTACGTATGGATTCTGTACGATGTTGCCTGGTGTTGGTTGGTGGTGTCAGGCGATGTCTAGACCAAGCTGAAGTTGTTAGGGTCGTAGGTGGTGGAAGATGGTTGGCAGTCAGAGAACAGTGGCCATGAAATTTGATGTGTCATCAAGGGCCATCAAGTGACTGTGGAGGAGGTACTTGAAGGACGAATTATACACTTGGGGAATAGTCAGGGTCGTAACTAAACGACCACTCCTCCCCACCACGACCTGTATCCTGTCAACTTGGCCTACTGGAATCGCCCATAGTCCGGCTGGTTACCGGGGAATTGATTTTCATAGAGACACCAGAGCATAACACATTGCCCAGGAAGTGTGAAATCGTCTCCCATGAAGATGATGTGGGAGCGTGATGACCAACGGACGGTGCTGTCGTGTTTTGGCCGCAGTTCACCCTCCTGCCCGGCCGGTGTTTGCTCATCAACATCCAAATTGGCAGGTGCTTCACTAGAGACCCGTGCCGTCCACAGATGAGGGTTGATTTACAGTAACGACCAGTGATGTGCTGACGTGAGGGAGGGAGATGTGCTGACGTGAGGGAGGGAGATGTGCTGACGTGAGGAGGGAGATGTGCTGACGTGAGGGAGGGAGATGTGCGACGTGAGGAGGAGATGTGCGACGTGAGGGAGGGAGATGTGCTGACGTGAGGGAGGGAGATGTGTAGACGTTAGGGAGGGAGATGTGTAGACGTGAGGGAGGAGATGTGCTGACGTAAGGGAGGAGATGTTTAGACGTGAGGGAGAGGGTGAGAGGGAGATGTGCTGGCGTAAGGGACAGAGGATGTGTTGACGGAGAGGGAGGTGAGAGAGATGTGTAGACGAGAGGAGAGATGTGTGGGCTTGAGTGGGACGGAGATGTAGACGGAGGGAGGGAGATGTGTAGACGTGAGAGAGATGAGACTTTGAGAGAGATGTGCTGACGAGGAAGGAGATGTATAGAATGAGGGATGGAGGAGAGGGAAGTGTTTAGACGTGAGGAGGAATGTGTTAGAGGTGAGAGAGGAGATGTGTTAGAGGTGATAGAGGGAGATGTTAGATGCAGTGGGGGTGATGGATGTGTTAGTGAGGGGGTGTGTTGGGGTGATGGGAGATGTGTTAGAGGGTGAGAGAGGAGATGTGAGGGTGAGGGAGATGTGTTGAGGTGATAGAGGGAGATGTGTTGAGGTGAGAGAGGGAGATGTGTTGAGGTGATAGAGGGAGATGTGTTGAGGTGATAGAGGGAGATGTGCTAGAGGTGATAGAGGGAGATGTGTTGAGGTGATAGAGGGAGATGTGTTAGAGGTGATAGAGGGAGATGTGTTGAAGGTGAGTATAGTTAAATCTGACAGCTATGGCGGAGGGTCAGTCACGGTGAGGTGAGGAGAGGAGTGTTAGAGGGAGGTGAGGACTAACGCGTGACTGTCACCAGGACGCTAACAGCCCTCAGAATCACCCACACTATAACATAAATACGACGGCCAACACTCAGTCAAAATCTAGCCCACCCCACTCAGCGATACTATCATCCGTCACCATAAAACACTTTATATAAAACACCAGCTGCCAGCTCTGCATAGTTCTAATAGTTTCCGGAGCACAAAACAAAGAGAAATTTTGATCGTCAACGAGACACACGACGAATATGAATATCGTGAGAGTAAATACTGAAGTGTGACGCAGATGGAGGCTTTGTGAGTCATATAGTGAGCCTTTATGGTGACACAGGTGAGGTACAACACGGGTGGAGGCTTTGTGAGTCATATAGTGAGCCTTTATGGTGACACAGGTGAGATACAACACAGATGGAGGCTCATATGTGAGCCTTTATGGTGACACAGTGAGATACAACACGGTGGAGCTTTGTGAGTCATATAGTGAGCCTTATGGTGACACAGGTGAGATACAACACAGATGGAGCTTTGTGAGTCATATAGTGAGCCTTTATGGCACACAGGTGAGATCAACACAGATGGAGGCTCATATAGTGAGCTTTATCTGAGATACAACACGGTGGAGGCTTTGTGAGTCATATAGTGAGCCTTTATGAGACACAGGTGAGATACACAGATGGAGGCTTTGTGAGTCATTATAGTGAGCCTTTATGGTGACACAGGTGAGATAACACAGATGGAGGCTTTGTGAGTCATATAGTGAGCCTTTATGGTGACACAGGTGAGGTACAACACGGGTGGAGGCTTTGTGAGTCATATAGTGAGCCTTTATGGTGACACAGGTGAGATACAACACAGATGGAGGCTTTGTGTGAGTGATGTATGAGCCTTAATCTACCTGAGACTCAAATTCTCAGTAATCTTGGCATCAATGTGGCCGCCTAACCTAACCTAACCCAACCCAATCCCCCCTAGTGTTTAATCATCACTTGGTCCATTTAGAAGTATTGATTAATTAGTTACAATTAAATCTTAAATCATCAAAGCAAGAATTTTTTTTTCACGCTTCAAATTCCATTATAAAGTGTACAGTATATTCAGATTGAAATTCGGTTTCATGGTAAGAAAATATTGTAGTTCCCCAGTTATCCGGAATTCCTTAACCGAAAATCTCTCGGAATTGACCCAGAAGTTGAACCGAATATGAAATAACCGGTTTTTTCCGTTAATTGAAGAAGGAATTTGGGTTCATAGTTAAGGGTATGTGAAGGGTAGTTAAGGGTATTTGAAGGGTAGTTAAGGGTATTTGAAGGGTAGTTAAGGGTATGTAAGGGGTAGTTAAGGGTATGTAAGGGGTAGTTAAGGGTATGTGAAGGGTAGTTAAGGTTATGTGAAGGGTAGTTAAGGGTATGTAAAGGGTATGTGAAGGATAGTTAAGGGTAGTTAAGGGTATGTGAAGGGTAGTTAAGGGTATGTGAAGGGTATGTGAAGGGTAGTTAAGGGTAGTTAATGGTATGTGAAGGGTAGTTAAGGGTATGTGAAGGGTAGTTAAGGGTATGTGAAGGGTAGTTGAGGGTAGTTAATGGTATGTGAAGGGTAGTTAAGGGTATGTGAAGGGTAGTTAAGGGTATGTGAAGGGTAGTTAAGGGTAGTTAATGGTATGTGAAGGGTAGTTAAGGGTATGTGAAGGGTAGGTAATGGTATGTGAAGGGTAGTTAAGGGTATGTGAAGGGTAGTTAAGGGTATGTGAAGGGTAGTTAAGCGTGTGTAAAGGGTAGTTAAGGGTAGTTAATGGTATGTGAAGGGTAGTTGATGGTATGTGAAGGGTAGTTAAGGGTATGTAGAGGGTAGTTAAGGGTATGTGAGGGGTAATCAAGGGTAATGTAAGGGGCAATCGATGGTATGTGAAGGGTAGTTGATGGTATGTGAAAGGTAGTTGTGGGTGTGTGAAAGGCATTCCCAGTCTACCTTGCTTTAAATGGGTACCACCACCACCACCACCACCACCACCACCTCCACCCACCTAATACACTACCATCACCACCACCACCCACCTCCACTACCACCATCACCCACCACCACCCACCTCCACCACCACCACCCACCTCCACCACCACCACCACCCACCCCCACCACCACCCACCCCTACCCACCACCCACCCCCACCACCACCACACCACCACCACCACCCACCCCTACCCTACCCACCACCCACCACCTCCACCCACCACCACCTCCCCCACCCACCACCATCACCCACCTCCACCACCACCCACCTCCACCACCACCCACCCCCACCACCACCCACCCCCACCACCACCCACCCCCACCACCACCCCCACCACCACCATCACCCACCTAATACTCTCCCTCATAGCACCCACTAAATCCTGACCTCTAAACTTGTTGAACTTATGGCGGCCACTTGAGCCTTAGTGGTCCAGTTTATCATAATATTTTGCCTAATTAGAACTGATTGAGGCGCTGGCAAATTTGCGAGCAGCTAAGAGTCACCTTGATCATGGGGCTGGAACGACTAACGACTGTGTGGTCAGCAGGGATCGTGGTGAGGTGATGGCGGTACGACTAACGACCACTTGAGGCATTAAGTACTGTGTGGTCAGCAGGTGTCGTGGTGAGGAGGTGGTGGTACGACTAACGACCACTTGAGGCATTAAGTACTGTGTGGTCAGCAGGGGTCGTGGTGAGGAGGTGGTGGTACGACTAACGACCACTCGAGGCATTAAGTACTGTGTGGTCAGCAGGGGTCGTGGCGAGGTGGTGGGGGTACGACGAATAATAACCACTCGAGGCATTAACCCTTGGAGTCCTAAAGGGTTAAATCATGGTCTTCAAAGGGTTAAATCATCGTCTTCAAAGGGTTAAATCATCGTCTTCAAAGGGTTAAATCATCGTCTTCAAAGGGTTAAATCATCGTCTTCAAAGGGTTATCATATTGTTCAAAGGGTTAAATCACAGTCATGGAAGGGTTAATTCATCGTCGTCAAAGGGTTAAGTACTATGTGGTCAGCAGGGGTCGTGGGCAGGAGGTGGTGGTACGACTAACGACCACGCAGCCTTAACCAACAGTGAAGGGTCGCCTCTACCACCCAGCTAATACACTGCCACTACCACCCAGCTAATACTCTGCCACTACCACCCAGCTAATACTCTGCCACTACCACCCAGCTAATACTCTGCCACTACCACCCAGCTAATACTCTGCCACTACCACCCAGCTAATACTCTGCCACTACCACCCAGCTAATACCTGGCACTACCACCAGCCACTCTGCCACTACTCACTTAGCTAATAATTTACCACAACCACCCAGCTAATACTCTGCCACTACCACTTAGCTAATACTTCACCACAACCACCCAGCTAATACTCTGCCATTACCAATCTAACTAATACTCTGCCACTACCACCCAGCTAATACTCTGGCACTCACCACCCAGCTAATACCTGCCATTACCACCTAGCTATCACTCTGCCACTACCACCCACCCAATACCTGCCACTACCACTCCACCCAATACCTGCTACCACCTAGCTAATACTCTGCCACTACCACCCAGCTAACACTCTGCCACTACCACTTAGCTAATACTCTACCACAACCACCCAGCTAATACTCTACCACAACCACCCAGCTAATACTCTGCCACTACCACCACCTAATACTCTGCCACTACCACCCAGCTAATACTCTGCCACTACCACCCACCTAATACTCTGCCACTACCACTTAGCTAATACTCTACCACTACCACCCAGCTAATACTCTGCCACTACCACCACCTAATACTCTGCCACTACCACCTAGCTAATACTCTGCCACTACCACCCAGCTAATACACTGCCACTACCCCTACCTAATGCTCCGCCACTACCCCTACCTAATGCTCCGCCACTAGCCTCCTCTCACTCCCTGTCGCCACTAAATGTCTCTCACGCTCTGAGACAGAATGTGTTTTGACAGGAGGTGGTGGTGAGGGTGGTCGTGGATAATGGTGGCTGACAGGCGACATCTGATGCAAGGAGACTACCTCTAAAACTACGACCCCTTAAGACTATGACCTACGACCACACTAGCTACGATTCACAACCACACTAGCTTCGACCTACGACCACACTAGTTACGACCTATGACCACACTAGCTACGACCTACGACCACACTACCTACATCTTAATAAGTCCTTGGTTACGGCTCACAGTCACTCAGGTTACGACACGCAATCACTATGGTTAAGACCCATCATAGCTACAATCTACATTACTATGGCTATCGTAGTTACGCCCCTGAACCAAATGCGAACGAGACTGCGACACTCGACCACCTCAGTTACGACTATCATCCCAACCGCGACCACTACAGTTACGACATCAACTAGACTATCCATAGTGAGGTCATTCTCTCAGGGTCAGTTAATTTTTCCAGTATTGTACATGTAAAAAACACAGATGTGCACCAGAATATTTACACGTGCTATGAATGTGTACAGGTGTAATGTATGTGTACAGGTGTAATGTATGTGTACAGGTGTAATATATAAGTACAGGTGCAATATATGTGTACAGGTGTAATATATGTGTACAGATGTAATATATGTGTACAGGTGTAAATATATGTGTACAGGTGTAATATATATGTACAGGTGTAATCTATGTACATGTGTAATATATTTGTACAGGTGTAATATATTTGTACAGGTGTAATATATTTGTACAGGTGAAATATATTATGTACAGGTGTAATATATTATGTACAGGTGTAATATATTTGTACAAGTGTATTTTATTATGTACAGGTGTAATATATACGAGCACCAAAAATCATATTATTTCTAAGGTGATTCAGTTATCAAGAACTTTTACCTCAGAGAGAGAGTTAAAAGTCGCTACGTAAGGTATATATTAAATATGGACAGCAGGTATGAAATTCTATTGCATCAGGTCGACGTCTGTAGCGTTATTAGATAAAGGAAACTTGATTTGTAGATCTAGTTTCAGTTCTCAATTGAGTTTCGGTTTCAATTTGGTTTTCTACCTTCGTTCTCTTTCTAGCTTTAGTAAATATTTCAGTTCTGGTTTAGCTTCAGTAATAGAATCTGCTCTAATTTTAGTCGTGGCTTCACTCTTAGCGTCAGGTTCAACGACTTATAGTTTCAGTTTCAGTTGTGTTTCATTCTTAATTTCCGTCCTAGTGTCACTATTGGTGAGAAACACACAAACACACACACACACACACACACACACGCACACACACACACGCACACGCACATATCCACGGTTTGTTACTATCATGGGAGTTCCGGTTTTTAACTTCAATCAAAACGTTCGTATTTCTTCATGTTTGATAACTAGTGTATCTCTCTCTCTCTCTCTCTCTCTCTCTTAATTCTCTTATTTTTAACCCTCTTACTCTATCTGCCTGTCTCTCTCTCGTTTCTCTTTATTTCTCTATCATTTTTTATTAATTCTCTCTCTCTCTCTCTC